TCTGTGTGTAAAAGGCTCTGTGTGTAAAAGCGTCTGTGTGTAAAAGCATCTGTGTGTAAAAGAGCCTATGTGTAAAAAGCGTTTGTGTGTAAAAGTCTCTGTGTGTAAAAGCGTCTGTGTGTAAAAGCGTCTGTGTGTAAAAGCGTCTGTGTGTAAAAGCGTCTGTGTGTAAAAGCGCCTGTGTGTAAAAGCGCCTGTGTGTAAAAGCTTCTGTGTGTAAAAGCCTCTGTGTGTGAAAGTGTTGTGTGTAAAAGTGTCTGTGTGTAAAAGCGTCTGTGTGTAAAAGCGCCTGTGTGTAAAAGTCTCTGTGTGCAAAAGCATCTGTGTGTAAAAGCGTCTGTGTGTAAAAGAGTCTGTATGTAAAAGGGTCTGTGTGTAAAGCGTCTGTGTGTAAAAGGGTCTGTGTGTAAAGCGTCTGTGTGTAAAAGTGTTTGTGTGTAAAAGCTTCTGCGTGTAAAAGCGTCTGTGTGTAAAAGCGTCTGTGTGTAAAAGCGTCTGTGTGTAAAAGCGTCTGTGTGTAAAAGCGTCTGTGTGTAAAAGCGTCTGTGTGTAAAAGCGTCTGTGTGTAAAAGCGCCTGTGTGTAAAAGCTCTGTGTGTAAAAGCCTCTGTGTGTAAAAGCTGTGTATAAAAGCTAAAAGCTTCTGTGTGTAAAAGCCTCTGTGTGTGAAAGTGTTGTGTGTAAAAGCGTCTGTGTGTAAAAGCGTCTGTGTAAAAGCGTCTGTGTGTAAAAGCGTCTGTGTGTAAAAGCGTCTGTGTGTAAAAGCTTCTGTGTGTAAAAGCCCTGTGTGTAAAAGCTTCTGTGTGTAAAAGCGTCAGTGTGTGTAAAAGCGTCTGTGTGTAAAAGCGTCTGTGTGTAAAAGTGTCTGTGTGTCAAAGCGGCTGTGTGTGAAAGTGTCTGTATGTAAAAGCGACTGTGTGTAAAAGCGTCTGTGTGTAAAAGTGTTTGTGTGTAAAAGTGTTTGTGTGTAAAAGCGTCTGTGTCTAAAAGCTTCTGTGTGTAAAAGCGTCTGTGTGTAAAAGCTTCTGTGTGTAAAAGTGTCTGTGTGTCAAAGCGGCTGTGTGTGAAAGCGTCTGTGTGTAAAAGCGTCTGTGTGTAAAAGCGCCTGTGTGTAAAAGTCTCTGTGTGCAAAAGCATCTGTGTGTAAAAGCGTCTGTGTGTAAAAGAGTCTGTATGTAAAAGGGTCTGTGTGTAAAGCGTCTGTGTGTAAAAGGGTCTGTGTGTAAAGCGTCTGTGTGTAAAAGTGTTTGTGTGTAAAAGCTTCTGCGTGTAAAAGCTTCTGAGTGTAAAAGCCTCTGTGTGTAAAAGCGTCTGTGTGTAAAAGCGTCTGAATGTAAAAGCGTCTGTGTGTAAAAGCGTCTGTGTGTAAAAGCGTCTGCGTGTAAAAGTCTCTGTGTGTAAAAGCTTCTGTGTGTAAAAGCGTCTGCGTGTAAAAGTCTCTGTGTGTAAAAGCGTTTGTGTGTAAAAACGTTTGTGTGTAAAAGCGTCTGTGTGTAAAAGCGTCTGTGTGTAAAATCGTCTGTATGTAAAAGGGTCTCTGTGTAAAAGCGTCTGTGTGTAAAAGCGTTTGTGTGTAAAAGTCTCTGTCTGTAGAAGCGTCTGTGTGTAAAAGCTCCTGTGTGTAAGAGTGTTTGTGTGTAAAAGCGTCTGTGTGTAAAAGTGTTTGTGTGGAAAAGGGTTTGTATGTAAAAGCGTCTGTGTGTAAAAGCTTCTGTGTGTAAAAGTCTCTGTGTGTAAAAGTGTTTGTGTGTAAAAGTGTTTGTGTGTAAAAGCGTCTGTGTGTAAAAGCGTCTGTGTGTAAAAGCGTCTGTGTGTAAAAGCGTCTGTGTGTAAAAGTCTCTGTGTGTAAAAGCGTCTGTGTGTAAAAGCGTCTGTGTGAAAAAGCGTCTGTGTGTAAAAATATTTGTGTGTAAAAGTGTTGGTGTGTAAAAGTGTCTGTGTGTAAAAGCGTCTGTGTGTAAACGTGTTTGTGTGTAAAAGTCTCTGTGTGTATTTGCGTCTGTGTGTAAAAGCGTCTGTGTGTAAAAGCTCTGTGTGTAAAAGCGTCCGTGTGTAAAAGCCTCTCTGTGTATAATAAAAGCGTCTGTCTGTAAACAGTTCTGTGTGTAAAAGCGTCTGTCTGCAACTTTACGAAAGATACGATGCAAACTATTGTATTGTACTTGTAATATATTGTTTTGAAACTACTCTTCTCGTCTGCCTATAATACATCTTCAATATATTGTCTTGTAATTTAGTGTCTCCATACTAGCAACAGAAGACTTTGCTCGTCTACGCTCTCGGGCCATCCGTCGTCTAGTATTTTTTCCGTCGTTGGTTTGTTTTGTGCGCGATGTTAGTTTTTGCCATGAATGATGTTTTGTTTGTTTGTGTTTATGCCATTCAGGAAAAACTGTGTGCTGATCCACTTTGACGCGGACCTTGCCTCAGAAGCCCATGCCCGTCCCAACTACCGCCCGCCACCGATGACGGAAACCCTGGCGAAGAAATTGATTTGGGGAGCTCTCAGCGGCCGCGGAGCCGTGCCCATTGGAAAAAACACGGAGGCCGATGTCCCCATTCAAGGGGACGTCTTTTGCATATTGGACGGGGGCCGTGACAGCGCCATGCTGATGAGCCCCTTCAAGCAAGGCAAAGGCAAGCTCACCGGTTAAAGACGTGTGATGTTGTCATTTTAAAAATATATATTGCCTAAATTGGCTTTTTCTATATAGTTGTTTTGCATGAAGGAATTTGTTCTTTTCCAAAACGTACAGCTGCAAAGTTGCAGGTGGCCACATCCCGCACTACATCGAGATCAAGGACGTTCACTGCATGATCAGTGAGGACTCGATGAGGGAGAAGAAGCAGCGCAACAAGACGGCCATCAACCAGGTCATCAAGATGAGACTGCTCAGCTCCGAACCTTTGGAAAAGATCTTGCCCGAGAGAAAACGCGGCAAATACCCAGGGACGACAAAGGGCAATGTCATTGGGTACATCGGGCTCTCACCAACCAGTGACATTTGGAAAGCTACCGTTGAAGAAAAGGCCGCGATGTATGGCCCAAGGGTCATTGGCTCAGACGCGGCTGCAGCAGAAGATGAAATCGGAGAAGCTGAGACGGAGAAGCAGCAGCCCAGGAAACCCACCAGCTATGAACCCTTCAACTTCAACTTTTTGCCTCGGACCTTCTATGCAGATTGTTTGGCAACATACTCGGTGGTGTCTTGGCTAGTTTAATTGGGTGCGGCTTTTTCAATGTATGTGTATATACACCTTGTTATTGTGGTCGATGAGTTTTTTCAATGAATGCAGCATTCGTTAAGTGATAAGTGTATATGATATGTATTAAATCCTGCTATTTGTGTTCAAACTGCTGGTGGTTCTTGTTTTTGTTTGAGTTTGTCATGATCAATGATCCGCCCATTCTGCTGAGGTCGCTGTGTTGGATCTTACTCCGGGCCAAGGGGAGTTGTGCCGTGCAGCCGTGGAGAAGCGAATCCCTTACCTGGGGATCACTATGACTTCGCTGCATGGCGACCGCCTGCGCGAGCAGCTCACGCAATGGCTTCAGAAGCAGTCGCCCGCATTATTTAATACATTTTTTGGATGTTATATTTGTTATTATCATTATTATGGTTTCATCTGTTCGTACCATACCTCCGTTAACAATATTGTCGCATTGTTAGTTTTTTTCCCGGTTCTTTCTTTTGGATCCTAATTTGCCGAATTTGAAATTCTATCAAGCATTGTTGAGGATGACCACGGAGGGGTCCAGCTTTTACAGTCCGGAATGGGTTCCCGCTGGAGAGAAGAAGAGAAAGAATGAAGGCGAGGATGGCAATGATGAATCTGGCAAGAAGCCCAAGCCGAAGACTGAGGCGAAGCCAAAACCTCAGAACAAGCCCAAGCAGCCCAAGCAGAAAGTGATCGTCGATTCGGACGATGACTCCAAGTCCGAGTGAGTGAGGCTGGTTCGGGGTTTGGATTCTTAGGCCAAGTACGGCCATTTTGGCACTTGGATGATTTTGGATGGAGCCTGACAAGCTGGCGGGGGAGCCGGCAGCAGGCAGCAGCACCAGGCAAAAAAATGGCATTGGACTTTCGCAGGGCAGCAGTTGGAGTTGGAGTTTAGCAGCCTTGCAGTGTTATTTCACGACAATGTTCAAGTCATTGGTTTGGTTCATCATGCAAGCTTCTGCTCAAGCTACTTTAGTCATCAACCATGATATATTTAACTAGCTCAACCAAGAAAGCATCATCAAACATGATTTTACACACGCATATGCGCACTTACGCACATGTATGTGATTATATATTTATAGTCGTGGGAGAGACAGACTTCAGTTGAACAGATCAAACAACAAGACTTTGTGACAGCAAGTCAAAACCCGCCGGACCGACGATGATGGATGACCTGGACTTTGACAACAGCGCTACCCAAAAAAGAATGCAAGTGAAGAAGCGGAAAGCTTCGGAATCCAGTCCAGCGAAATCCAGAAATCCAAAGCCTGCGAACAATGACAAAGTGCCTGTTAAGCAGAAGCCGGAGACGCCCTGCAAAAAACCAGCAACGAATAGAACGAAACAAGCAAAGAAAGAGGCAAAAAGTGAGAAGCAGAATCAGAAGGCTGCCGAAGGGATCTTTGCAGAATTGGTTGAACTGTCCGCCCAACATCGTGACCTCATGCCCCCAAACACCATGGAGGGACAACCGATCAGAGCCTTGGATGTTTTGCTTGCGCGTTTCTCTGATGCGTGTTAAGTCATTTTTTGGTGTTATTTTCAATTTTCGTTGTTTGTCGTGCGTTTGTCATCAGGACTTGGGAGCGATTGCTGTGGTCTCAGCAGCGACTTTCTCGCTCTCAAGCTGTGCGGCATTCAAGTTGAGACCAAGTTCATGTCTGAAGTGGACGATTCAAAAATATCTATGAGCAAGGCAATGCATGCGAGATATGGATGTTCCCCGCAAGTCCACGGAGACATCACGCTGAGAAACCCCAAGGACATGGACCAAGTCGACCTGTTCGTGAGCGGGGCGCCTTGCCCAGCATATTCTACAGCAGGTCTGAAGAAGGGCATCAAAGACCTTCGGGGTTGCGTCATACTTCATAGCCTGAAATATATTGTCCTACGCCGCCCCGCCGTTGCCTGCCTCGAAAACGTGAAAGGTATGACTCACAAAAGCCACAAGCAGGTGCTTGACAAGATCATCGAAGTGCTCAAGTCGTGCAATTACAAGGTGACTGCTGCCATCCTCAATACCGCAGACCACGGTATCCCACAGAACCGGGAGAGGCTCTACTTGGTGGCAGTGCATCGCAGCAAATTGGACAAGACAAGGGGCAATTTCAAATTCCCAGGCCCCGTTACTATGCCAAAACTGAAACGGTTCCTTGTGCACAAGTGCCAGCAGGCAAGCGAACTCTCGGAAAGGGAGCGCGGCATGGTCAAGGCATTGAGACAGAAGATTGGCATTGCCAGACCAGAGAAGTTGGAGGATGAAGTTGTCATGGACATTGGAGCTACGATGCAATTTGCGAACGTCATGAATGGAGTCAGTCCATGCTTGACAAAAACGAAGCTCAATTGTCAAAGATAAGTTTTTTTTTGCTGATGGATGTTTGATCTATGTTGATTCTAGGGGCCATGGTTGAATAATTTGAGATTTTGTGTAGTTCGTCAGTCTTGTTTGATTTGCTAAGGAGAAGCGCGTCTGGGGGCTACTACCTCTACACATCCCAAAGGTTTATGAACGTCTACGAGATTGGTGGTCTTCAGGGATGGCCAAAAAGTTGGGTTGACCAGCTACTGGAGGTCCAGCCCAAGTCGAAAGTTGGAGCCGGATTTGGAGATGCAATGAGTTTGAACATACTCATGAGGATTTTGCCAAGGGCATGTCATGCAGCAGGTTTGGTACCACCTTGCGCAGATGTCTGGGAAAGCATTCCTGAGAGAGGCCTGGGCCTGTTGCCTGGCTCGCTATATGAAAGGGAGAATCCGATGGACCCCAGATTGCAGCCCATATGGGTTTGATTTGGTAGCTGTCTTCATATCGTTGACATCTTGGCAGTGACAACGGCGGCGATGGAAAAAATGGCAGAAAGAAATTGGATGGGACGGGTCATTTTGAACCGAACATCATTGGGCATGTTCAAAGTTCGAAGCTTTGTTGGATGACATGTGTTGGTCACTGTTGCAGCTTAGCAGTCTCTTGGAACTTGCAGGTTTTATCGGCTCATTCAAGCACAACTGGATTTCGCAGAGTTAGAGCCATGGATTCACAGAAGATTCATGATGATCTTGAGTTCTTGGGGTGCGAGAAGATTTGCCTCTCATGCTGGTTGAACTGCATTGGCTGGTGGATAGCGGATGATGAGAAACCTGGAAAACTACTTAAATTGTTTATCTTCGTTCGCAAAAGTTTTGCTTGTTTTTCTGGAAGCTATCAGCGTTACTATGTATAGTTGTGGAAACATTTGATCATTTGATTCAATTCATTTTAGTGGTTCTGAGGAAGACAATGCGTGCACTCGCCTGCATCAGCAAGGATTGTTTGTGCGACGAAAGAAGCATTGCAGAGATCGAGAAGCTGGAGATCGAGAAGCTGGAGAAGAAGAACTCGTCTGAGATGAAGAACCGCTGAGATCATAACTTTTGAATCCTTGGAAGACTAAGATATCTTTCCAGTACAGTACCATTAGACAACAGGTCCATGGGGTATCACCAATCGCGGCCTGCAAGCATAGAAAAAACTGCAGCTCGTCGTGCGCACCTGTCATGCACTTGTAAGTCGCAATACCTTGGTTCAATGGGGCCAGGCCCGGCTAAGCCCGACTACTGGTCGGGCTTGGCTAGGCACTGGTGGATCATAGTTTTTGAACGTTTGGAACTCGCTTGAAACTTTGTCGGGACTGCTGTGTGGTGAGTGGTAAGTGACATGCTGGTCTTGCGGGTACAACTGGTTTCTTCGCTTGCAGCTGTTCCGGGTTTACTCATGCTTACTCGACTGACCTCAGTTCGCTCAGTTCCGTTCCTCTGCTGATGCAGCCATGCCAAATGACAATGAAGCGCTGTCAGCAGCAGGCTCAACAGTATTATTCAGGGAGTGGCGTGTATCCCCAAATATCCTCAAGATGTCTAACAATAAAATGAACGCAGTCACACTGAAACCACAAAGCAATAAGTCAGATGATTCCTCTTTAAGTTACTATTGTTTGTTTTGTAAATTTGCACACGACGACTGTTGGGATTTCCTGGTAGGGAGAAAACCCCAGTTGGATCAATCATTATCTTGTTACTTGTGCTTTTCTAGGACGACCCGTACTTGTTTCAATTCACCCGATTCGCCCTTATGGCAGGACGCTCACTGACTGATATCTACTGAGACGTTGGCCCACACTGACGGGATTATTTTAGCGCACGGCCACGGATGCCAAGTTGAATCTTTATTCCCGACCTCAACCTCAACCTCAAACTATGATTTCTTACATCCGGCTGATTCAACTTGCGCAGCTTAATTTCGAGCCCGTCTTTGCCTGGGTCCATTCACTGCAATTTCTTTATCGGAAGTTTGTTTGTCGTAACTCTATGCGGGTGTTTTTATTAGAACCATTGGCTGGGGTTTGGAAAGTTATGTGTCCACGACAATCACCATAGGAAAACCAGGAAACTTGAATGGGGAGGGCAATTTTGTCCAGAAAATTCCAGGTCGGTGGACACACCGACGCGCCGCAATGGCTGAATTGACACATTGACCTGACAGCTGGCTAACCTGACTGAGCCTAAGGGAGTGTCCTAGTGTCCGCTAAAATCAACCTTTGGATCTTGCTTTAAGTTGGTTATCTACTGTTATTTGTGTATATTATATATGACAAAAAATATGTTTGATATAATATACATATGTAATTTATATAATATATATATATTATTATAGACGACGTTTTATTGTTGAAGCTTTAGCTCCTCTCCCACGCACGACAATTCTTGAAAAATACTTTGTAAATTTCAAAACGATTTTTTAATCTGCTTACTCACATCATCACAGCTTTATTAAAAGGCAAGCAACAAATAAAAACAAAAAATAAAAATAATGACAATTAGATTGACTGAAGAATCTGGAATCAATTGAACAATTTGTGTTTTTACACAGCTGCTGCTACTCAGTGAAACAAAACGACTTGACAAAGGAAAAATACGGCTGATAACCCTGAAACATCTTTAACCGCTGATTTAAACAATATCCCATGTATCTTTTTCTGCCTGAGGGAGGCCACAGGGATCAGGGAGGCCAAGGGCAACCAGGGCAACCAATATACAGAGGCAAGAATTGTGCAGCGCTTCAGAAACTATGGCAGCCTGCAGAAACCCATATCGCCCAGTTGGAACTCTCGATGGTGCTCTGCGCTTTGGTCGAAAGGCCTGACCTGTTTCGAAATCGACACGGCCTCTGGTTTTTGGACAATGTCGCCGCCGTCATGACGCTAGTGAGAGGACGTTCTAGCAATGCCGACTTAGCAAAGCTAGGTCATTTGATCCACTTAGCTCTGTTTGCACTGCGAGCCCAGGGTTACTGGGAGTACGTCCAGAGCAAGAGCAACTGGGCTGATGACATCAGTCGACTTGGAGTCGACGACCCGTGGTGGCGATGCCATGGATTCGAATTTTATGCGTCGTATCTCCCTACCATCTTTTTCCAGCTGCCTTTTGTTGCTGTCATTCTCACCTTTGAATTCCTTTAGTGCTTTGGGAAGTTTAGTGCATTGGGTGATACCTGCAAGAGCAGGTTCCAACCTGGAATCCCAGGTAGCTGACCAGTGGCGAGACTGGTCTGAGGCTATGTACATGTCACACAGTGACGGCCCAAAGCAAACCTGAGGATTGCAGGTGACATTGACTTAACATAGGCTTGGCTGCGAAAAAGGAAGCTGCGAGAGCGCAACCAGTATGAGTTTCATATGGCACTTTGAGATGTACCCATGCATTGAGTTTGGCAGGCTTGGGTGTGCATGTATCATCTTTAAGTGCTCCAATGAATGCTATCATTTTGGCTCAAGTAAACTTGAACCAAAATAGCATTCATTGCTTTTTCTTTCCCCGCCCTCCCAACCCTAAGAGCCGACCTCCCGTGGAGAAGTCCGCCTATAGGTTAGGGGAGCCTGTTAGACAGGCGAGTATATAGCCTCTATTGGGGACCCTCTCTTGTGGTGACCAAGAGAGGTTTACCCTCCCTTAAGTCAAGGGATGGGTGATACCTGCAAGAGCAGGTTCCAACCTGGAATCCCAGGTAGCTGACCAGTGGCGAGACTGGTCTGAGGCTATGTACATGTCACACAGAGACGGCCCAAAGCAAACCTGAGGATTGCAGGTGACATTGACTTAACATAGGCTTGGCTGCGAAAAAGGAAGCTGCGAGAGCGCGACTAGTATGAGTTTCATATGGCACTTTGAGATGTATATATATATATATATATATATACCTGGTGCTTCAAAGGCCGTGCTAGGCGGGTGCTTTGCCTAAGCACCTCAAAAGTAGGTAACGGCCATCCCAAGTGTAACGGCCATCCCAAGTCAATAGTGGCATAAATATTCTCAGCCAGGATCCTGGATTTGCCGTTCCCGCAGGCATTTTGCCATGTATAGACCGAAATCCATGTGCATCTTGAAGATTATGATAGCTTCTGATATCATCTCCAAGATGGAAACATAGATCCTGAAACTGGAATCATGATATAGTAAGATAGATTGATTGATTTCTATCTCTATCTCTCTCTCTCTCAAATATAAGGGTTCCTTTAAACAATTTTTTCATCTATGTCATTTAGAAACATCTAGTATAATCTCTTTTCATCATGTGAAGATGGAACACATTAAGCCATCTTCAACCCGAACCGTCCTGATATAATGTGCTACAGTGTTACCTAATCCCATGTGTCAAGATTGAAACTCCCATTTGATTGCCTCACTCCAGCCCACCACCTCGTTTTTCCACTGTCGATGCCCCGTGCACGGGGTGGGTCAGCCCGGACCCGGCTTGCTTCCAGCGGCCCCTGACTCAGGCCTGGGATCGTTTTGCTATTTCGATTAAACTTATATTTTGTCAATATTTGTTATCTCGATCTCTGGCTTTCTTAGGCATCAATGGGCGGCTCACAGGTTCGCCCTGCCTTACCCTGCTTTGGTGTGGGATCAGTGCTGATGATTTTGTGTTGTGCCCAATCTGATCGTCCATGATTGAAACTTGAGGTTGGAACATCCAGTAACCATTTGGGCTCCTTTTCGTTTTTGGGGTATAATGCCCTCGCCACCCCGTGCCAATGTCATGGCCTTGCTCAAGGATGGGAACTGGAGGTGGTGGTCAAAGGATTTGTTATCCAATTATCCAGTACTTTGCAACTACCTAGTTCGGAATCCACTGCAGAACATTCAACTTAGCGGTCGTTTGGGGGTTCAATTGCAGGACTTCTACTTGGGAAAGGTCCGGGATGAGAACTACATGAAAACTCGTTGGCGGGAGTTGGCCAAAAGAAAATGTTTACCTGAGAAGAAACTTGAGCAGCGTTTGAAGAGTCAGCAGGCCGGTCCCATCGGGAAACTCATCTCAGCAATATCTTCAGAACAGTAGCATTGAACGTTAGTCCCAGAAATATCTAGCTGACATATTTTGATTTCCACCTGCCGCTCTAGGCACCATGTGATTTCTTTTTCATCAACTTGGACACCTCGTTCAACAAGGAAGATGACAGCAAAGCGGTCACTGTGGAAATGGTGGTGCCTGCATGTTTCAAAAGATCCGGAAGGTGTAAATCAATAAATCATGCGATGATGGGCGAGCATAGCTTTGAGCTCCCTATATCCCAGGGTCACGAATGATTTTTCAGCTTGGCTCCCAGGTTGAGGATGACCACAACTACGAGTTTTTCTTGGAGTGGCTACCCCTCTTTGCAGCGGATTTACCGTGGCATTCAGAGATGAAGGCTATACAATATCGGGAATCTAATAAATCTATTATGCATGACTTATATTATGCCATCTTGGTTGATACACATTTTTTTTTCCCATCCATTCGTCTATCTACTCATGTGGTGACCCTGGTTGCTCGCCCGTGCCTGCAGGCCACACTCATGGAGATTCACTCGGCGGAGACACCTCTGTGCCGGCCCAAGATGAAGTCGGATTTGGAGGACACTATGGGTTGGACTTGTTCAAGTGCAACATATCGATAAAATGAGCTGTTCTGGGATTATTGATTACATGTTTGCAGGACTGGGCCTCAAATGAAGCTCAATCCCAAAAGGACCTCCAAAGTGCCATCTTGTACTTGGCAAGAAGGAATGAACATGCAAGGCTTGCCGTATATATCTACTCATAAAGTGCCTGTGTGAAATTGATGGTGTATTTCATATCTACTATCAGGGCTTAGTTTTGACTTTTTGGCAGGCCAGGGCATCAAAAGCTGGAGGATCTGAAGTTCATTGTCCGCGAATTGCGTGGCCATCTGTGGAACAAAGGCGGGTAAACAAAGAGTTTTTTGATTTTTGAGACTATGGGACTTATATGTTTATATATATACGATCTTATGATAGCAGCCTCCTTTTTCAATATACAAATGTCATTGAAAAATATGTTATATTGAAACCTGTTTTTGATGATATTGAGAGTGATCTGACAGGAAAAACGAAAAGCAGTGACGAGGTCAAAAGTGCACAGAGCCAAGATGGGCTTGCAGGGTTTTCTGTTAGCAAAGGAGCTAGAAGAAGAGGCTGAGGCAAAACAATGTGAAAAGCCCAGAAACCCAGAGCCCCGTGAAAGTGAGAAGCTGAACCCATCTGCAGTTGAAGAGCCGGAGCAAAAACACCCGGAACACAACTAAACTCCAGAGATTTGCCCACCGACGTCAAAACCAGAGATGCCCTTTGGAGATGAGAAGCCGCAGGCAGAACAGTCTCAAAAACACAGTGGTGAGCCCAGCGCACATGAGCAGTCAAAACAAGACCCTGAAGAAACATACACCAAAGCACCGGAGCCCAGTGCAAATAGGGAAGTACAGCCAGAGGAAAAGCGTCAAGAAAACACCAAAGCACTGGAACCCTGTGTAGATGAGAAACCGCAGCCAGCAGAGCTTGAAGCACAACATGACAAGCCTGGAGAAGCACATGGTGAAAACCCCGCAACACCAAAACATAGTAAAGACATCGTTGAGATTCAGGATGATAGCCAACAGCATGAGGTGTTTCAAGACAGCCAAACCCCACCTGAGTGGAAAGAGGATGCGGCATTCGCCAAGTCAATGGATGAAATAAAAGAGATTGCAGATCCCAAACCAGATTCCAGCGCCACAGCAGAAGATGCCCAGCCCGTGACTCCTTGCAAACACTTGTTGAGTGAACTTGAAAGGGAGGAGGAGAGAGAGGATTTGAAGTCAGATGAGGAAGACTTGGCAAAGCGCCAAGCTTTCAAGGATTGAATTTGTACATATTTTCACATATGATTTCAGATCAACACAAATTTTGAAATTTGACTAGTATCTCAAATCCGTTGGTTAAACTAGAAAAAATTGTCCAGTCTGATCGTTGCAGGACCGGGAGCCCCTCTTCGATTTGGAGAACCTTCCAGATCTTACAGAACAACATTTCGAGGAGATTCCCGAGTTGAAAGGTATCAAAGATGAAAAGGCAAAACAAGTAATCTCGAACTTGATTTTGCAGGCAGGGTATCAAAATAATTTCGTTTTTGAACATAGCGAATCGGAACAGATTGTGCATGAATGCTGTATATGCTCGATGCATGTTCTCGTTGCAGTTGCAAAAAGATACACGAAGAGATATGAATGCAGAGAAGAGAGAAGCCCAGAAAGAACTTGATGACAAGAGGGCAAAGAAAGAGAAACAAATCCTTGGGAGAGGAAGGGGGAAAGGTCGTGGCAGAGGCCGGGGAAAGAAGGTCGAAGAAGAAGGCATTGAGGAAAAAGAACCAGGAAAGTGTACTGACGAAGCTGCTACTTCTGTGGCGGAAGCTGGCTTGCAGAAACTGCGCGCGTCATGGCTCGAGGAGGCTGGAAGGGGGAAATTTAGAAATGGATGATGGTGTGCGGTGTGGGGTGGTGTTTTACATAATAATACATGTAGAAATTATGCACATATAAACTCTATAATATAAATTTGACATGCTTCCCCACGCGCACAGGATATCTCCTCGGACTCCGATGAAGAGGCCCCTCGCCCGAAGAGCAAGGTGTGCAATGCCATGTATTTATTCAAAATTACGTGGGATAAAAATTAATTTCGATATGATCACATCATAATGTGCTTTTTTTTGCCAGGCGAAGGCAAAGGCAAAAAGTAAGGCGAAAGCGAACGCGAAGGACACATATGGCTCTTTCAATCTAATTTTTTTCCTTCAGGGAACCAAATCAAATTTATTAATTCAACCATCCTGCCAGGAGCCCAAAGCAAAGCCTGGTCCAAAGCCAAGCCAGGCATCATCTCTTTTACATGAGGCATGTGCAATATATCAGGAGGGTTATCCCATATTATCCCCAAAGTATCGTGTTAAATTACGATTTAAGCCGGTATGCCCCTAATAAGCGGGTTGATATTACCCATTCAAACTGTTGGAGGCCAAGCAAAGGAAGAGTGCAAGCAAAAGTGCCAAGGCTGGAGAGGCCGGCATGTACACCAAAAGCGATCAAACTATGCAGTATGTAAACCTGCAATCTGGGTTTTGATGTTCAGGGCCCAATGACTACTGAAGAAAAAGAACCTCAGGAGGATTGTTTTTTGAATATCGATTCAATGTCCCAAGGGAATAACTATAATTGATGCTGCAGGACATGTCAGCACCGGCAACGGAAGACTCGAGAAGGCCCAAGGCCAGTCTCTGTTTGTCCGTGTGTGTGGGTAGCATAAGACACCTTAATCATCATCATCATTTGTGGAGGACGCAGCAACTCCACCGAGTGCAGCCAGTCCGGAGGAGGCCCAAAAAATATAGATCAATTGATATAATCGAACTTTGAAAGTTACCATATTCAGATATTTTCCCTCCATAAATGCTCCCTCCATAACCATCGGCGCTGGTTCTTACAGGCACGTCCGAAGCGCAGAAGGGCTCAGCGTGCAGATCCAAAGGTGCCTGGCTAGTAGTGATACTGGTGATGCCAATTCATGGGAATGGGATCTATGGTGTTTATTTTCGGTACTGCAATGACCTGATCGATTGATTTGTTTTCTGGCTTCACCACCAATTTCAGGACAAGACAGTTCCCAGTCCTGATGATGATGATTTGGAACCAAAAAATGCTTCTGCCTTAGATTTTAGAACTGTTCTGCAAATTATTTTTTGGGAGCCATACATGCGGCGTATGAGGTCCCAAGCGAAAGCGTGGGAAGACCCCGGATGGAGAGGCCAGGATAATTATTAACCAATAAAGCTTGTTGTGCTTTAGGTAGATCGATCAATACAATCATCACCAACTTCAAGATACAGATATATCAAGATGAAATACCATGTGCCACACCTCACCTCTTGGAAGCATTTCCATACGAAAACATGGCCATGCAGGAGGAAAACGGTGCCAAGTTGCCCAAGCAGGGGGTGCTTGACTCAGATTTAGTCATTTAGTTGTCAAACTGATTTCACGAACAAGAGACCTGTCCCAGGCTGCAGCCAAGAATCTTTCGCAGGACTTATTTTTTTAATCCCTGAAATTCATTTGATCTCTCTTTTCCACTTTCACATTGATCGTGTATATATGTCACAGTTTTTGAACAAATGTGTAGGAACGCAAAGCTGATCAGCTCCTTCTGGTTCGTCAAGCTGCTGCCGGTTCTTTCCCAGAACTCATGCCCCCGGACGACATTGATAACCGGGTGCCAGGGTCTCAGCATCAAATGCTTTGACAATCAAATTATATAGTTGGTTTGGTTGGATTACCGCGGTGGTTCCCAAATTGGTGTGCCCCAAATCTTTGCACAAATTCACCATTATTTAATATGAGCTGTAATGCCCCATGGTCAAGCGTTTGTATCCACCGACTGTTCCTTGCTCAGGACTTGGGTTGTCAGCGCTCCTGAGATCATTCGCAAGAAGCTGAAGAAGGAGGACTCTCTGTGCAAATTGGGGGTGATCTTGCGTGGCCAAGTTTATGTCTATCGGGCTGATGCTTCCCGTGTGGACGCTGTGAACGAAACTTACATTGCACGCGGGTTCGGGTACACGCGCGCACCCTGAAAAGCGTCAAAGCCGCAAAGCCGCCATGGAACGCTCAAGCCGCAAAGCCGCAAAGCCGCCATGGAACGCGCAAGCCGCAAAGCCGCAAAGCCGCAAAGCTGCCATGGAACGCGCAAGCCGCAAAGCCGCAAAGCCGCAAAGCCGCCCGAGCCGCAAGCTCTGCGACTCATGCGCCGCCTCCTGCGTTCATCGCCGCTGCGTTGCCACCGCCGGATCGCTGAAGCCGCAAAGCCGCAAAGCCGCAAAGCCGCCATGGAACGCGCAAGCCGCAAAGCCGCAAAGCCGCAAAGCTGCCATGGAACGCGCAAGCCGCAAAGCCGCAAAGCCGCAAAGCCGCCAAGCCGCCAAGCCGCCGAGCCGCAAGCTCTGCGACTCATGCGCCGCCTCCTGCGTTCATCGCCGCTGCGTTGCCACCGCCATGGATCGCTGAAGCCGCAAAGCCGCAAAGCCGCAAGCTCTGAGACGCAGGCGCCGTCTCCTGTGTTCATCGCCGCTGTGTTGCCAGAGCGTCAAGAAGCGTCAAAGAGCCGCAAAGCGCCAAGGCGTCGAAGCACCACGAAGCGTCAAAGCGGCAAAGCTTCAAGAAGCGCCAGAGCGTCAAGAAGCGTCAAAGCTTCAAGAAGCGGCACAGCGCCGAAGCGTCAAAGAGCCGCCAACGAAAGGCTGGCTGTGCTTAGAAGGGGACGGGCTTGCTTACGGAAAGAGGTCTGCAACCAAAGGCTGGCTGTGTTTAGAAGGGGACGGGCTTGCATATTGCGAGACAATTCGTAGCGAATTCCGAAGAACAATGGCAGATGTTATGGCAACCCCCAAAAGATTGAAACGCAGCATTCGACTAAACGAATGGCAATTTTCCTCCCTATTTGGTTGAAAGATATTATCTACAATGTCCCCCCCGGTGTGATAGACAGTCCCGGCCTATGCGACACAGACCTTGCAAAAACAACTTTAAACAAGAACAAGAACAAGAACAAGAACAGCAACAACAACCACAACCACAACCACAACAACCACAACCACAACAACCACAACCACAACCACAACAACAACCACAGCCACAACCACAACCACAACCAACAACAACAACAACAACAACAACAACACCAACAACAACCCCACCACCACCACAACAACAACAACAACACCAACAACACCAACAACACCACCAACAACACAACCACAACACAACAACCAACACCAACACCACACCAACACCAACAAACAACAACAACAACAACAGCAACAACAACAGCAACAGCAACAGCAACAACAACAACAGCAACAACAAGAACAACAAGAAGAAAGAAGAACAAGAAGGAGAAGAGGAAGAAAAAGAACAAGACAAAGAACAAGAACGAATAGAACAAGGAGAACAATGAGAACAAGATGGAGAACAAGATGAAGAACAAGAACAAGAACTCAAGAACAAGAAGAAGAAAGAACACAACCACAAGAACAAATCTAAGAACAAGAACCACAACACCAACAACAAGAAGTCCTTAACTTTCGATCATCCTTGATGCTACGCTGCAAGATCTTGCCCTTGATTTTCGAACAACTTTGATGCTACGCTGTCAGATCACAGCCTGATCTTGCAATCATCTGGGATGCTACCGTGTAAACATTTTGTCCTTAACTTGCAAATCTTAATTGCTACAAAGTAAGATCTTGTCCTTAGCCTTCGAGCATGTTGGATGCTACGCTCCAAGATTCTGTCTGTCTTGTCCCTAACCCTCAAACATGTTGGATGATACGCTGTAAGTTCTTGTCCTTAACGGACAAGAACCCGAACAAAAACAAAAACCACAACCACAAGAACAATATCAAGAGCAATAACCACAACATCAACAACAGTAACAACAACAACAACAAGAACAAAAACAAGAACAAAAACAATAGCAATAACAGGAACAAAAACAAAAATAAAAACAATAACAAGAACAAGAACAACAACAGCAACAACAACAACAACAATCAGAATAACAAGAATAAGAAGTGCCAATAAAAAACGAGAGCACAAACAACAATAACAACTTTAATAACAAGAACAAAAACGAAAACCAGAACAAGAGAAATAATAGCAAGTTCTTGGCAGATCTGGATGCTACCCAAGAAGATCTTGTACTGAACTTTCAATCATCTTGTATGATTTTGGTTGCTATGGAGTAAGACTTTATCCTTTACATTCAATCATCTTGAGTGTTACGGTGTAAGATCGTGCCCTTGACATTCAATCACCTTGGAGGCTACGCTCGAAGCGCTTGTCCTTAACTTTGAACATCTTGGATGATATGCTCTAAAATCTTGTCCTTGAATTACAAACATCTTGGATGCTTCGCTGTAAGATCTTACCCTTAATTTTCAATCACCTTTGATGCTACGGTGTAAGATCGTGCCCTGAACTTTCAATCCTCTTGAATGCTACTGTGTAAGCCTCGTCCTTAACTTGCAAACATGTTGGATGATACGCTGTAAGGGGGTGTTGGATGGTACGCTGTAAGCTGTTGTCCTTAGCCTTCAAACATCTTGGATGCAAGCATGTAAGATCTTGTCTATAAATTACAAACATCATTGGTGCTTCGGCGTAAGATCTTGTGCTTTCAAACATCTTGGGCGCTACAGAGTCAGATCTTGTCCTTAACTTTCGATCATCCTTGATGCTACGCTGTCAGATCGCAGCCTGATCTTGCAATCATCTGGGATGCTACCGTGTAAGATTTTGTCCTTGACTTGCAAATCTTTGTTGCTACGAAGCAAGATCTTGTCCTTAACCTTCAAACATGTCGGATGCTACGCTCCAAGATTCTGTTTGTCTTGTCCCTAACCCTCAAGCATGTTGGATGATACGCTGT